TTCTTCTTCTTCTTCTTCTTCTTCTTCTTCTTCTTCTTCTTCTTCTTCTTCTCCTCCTCCTCCTCCTCCTCCTCCTCCTCCTCCTCCTCCTCCTCCTCTTCCTCCCCTCCTCCTCCTCCTCCTCCTCCTCTTCCTTCTCCTTCTTCTTCTTTTCTTTTCTTTTTTTTTTTTTGAGAAAGTATCCAAGGATACATAACATTTATTTTCTACTTAATTATTTTAAAAGTTAACATAAATAAGTTATGTTGAAACTTGAAATTTAAGTAACATAATTTTTGGATTTTCAAAAAGAAATTTTCCATTCCACTAAGCACAATGCCTCATCTTGCTTCACAGAGCACAGTGTAAAATAAAGAATAATAGTTGGTGATACAAATACCCATGGATGTCATGAATATTAAACAGTCCAAATATTAACAAGAAATAATTTGAATGTACTATGTGGATATATCCACACTTGTTAGAAGTGTAATGATTATTAGAAGTAATATGATTGCTTCCATGAGGCACATAAGAGCATTCATCTCACTATTTTAGTGATATTTTATATAATGTAAGTACATACTATGAAAACATTGTCTCTTCTCACTCCATATTTTCCTCAGTCTCCCTCTTTTCTTTCATTCCTCATGACCACCCCTCCCCGCCAGAATACATAAAGGTAAAGGAGAAAAAAAATGTCTATTTTTTAAGGACAATCAGCCACCGGTTTATTTATTACCTGCTGGCTTAACAAAATTCATAATCCTCCATCCGTTTGGACAAGTACATCCTACTCAGAGTTCTTCATTAAATAACATATCAAAGGTTTCTGTGTTACTTTACTTTAAAAACCATTAATATTTTTGTTAAGAAACTTTAAAAAAATCATGTATAGAAATGAATCGATCAAATAATTATCCAATATTTATATGAAATATTTATAGTCACTGGGTGATAGAGTTTCAGAAGAGGAGAGAGAGCACATTCAAATTAACTAATGTAATAAAGAACTTGATAAAGAGACTATTTTCAAAAGGATAGGCAGAGAGTGTAAGGAAACCAAAAGAAATAGAGCAGTACTCTGCAGTATGATAAGAGTAGAGCTCCTTTACTATTTATGTTAGGGGTCCTCAAGACCACTCCCATGTTCGAAGACTTGCAGGACTCATCATATAGTCCTACTTGTGGCTAAAATTTATTATAGCATAAGAATAGAGTACAATCAACAAAGGGAAAGGTACATGGGTAAGTCCAGGGGAAACCAGCCTCAAGGTTCCAGTCTACAGGATATGCCTAATTCCCCTGGCAATGTTTTATGAAAATATGTGCAATGTTGCCAACCAGGGAAGCTCATTAGAAACTCAAAGCCCAGGGTTTGTATGGGGGTGCTGTTTATGTAGACAGCCTCTGTCTACATGAATAACCCCCAAATCCAAGATTCCCAGAAGGAAAGCAAGGTTAAGCATAAACCATTTGGTTGAACAAAATTTAAGAGACAGTGAGCCAAACTATGGAAAGAGCCAAGATGTCCATCGACGGATGAATAGATAAAGAAGATGTGGTATACACACACACACACACACACACACACACACACACACACAAAATGGAATATTTTGCAGCCATCAAAAGGAATGAGATCTTACCATTTGCAACAACGTGGATGGAACTGGAGAGTGTTATGCTGAGCGAAATAAGTCAATCAGAGAAAGACATGTATCATATGACTTCACTGATATGAGGAATTCTTAATATCAGGAAACAAACTGAGGGTTGCTGGAGTGGTGGGGGTGGGAGGGATGGGGTGGCTGGGTGATAGACATTGGGGAGGGTATGTGCTATGGTGAGTGTTGTGAATTGTGTAAGACTGTTGAATCACAGACCTGTACCTCTGAAACAAATAATACATTATATGTTTAAAAAAAAAAAAGAAGAAGAAGATAGCAGGAAGGGAAGAAGGAAGGGGGGGAATCGAAGGGGGAGACAAACCATGAGAGATTATGGACTCTGAGAAAAAAACTGAGGGTTCTAGAAGGGAGGGAGGTGAGGGGAGGGGTTAACCTGGTGATGGGTATTAAAGAGGGCACGTACTGCGTGGAGCACTGGGTGTTATATGCAAACAATGAATCATGGAACACGACATCAAAAACTAATGATGTAATGTACGGTGATTAACATAACATAATAAAAAAACTTAAAAAAAATAAAAAATAAAGAGACAGTGAGCCACTCTTACCTGTTCTGGTGAGAACCCTCACAAAGTCCAAGTTCCCAGATGCCAGCCAAAGGCTAACTTTGTAAGTGGTCTTTCTACAGATAAGTGGTCAGGCCCACCATGTGAGCTTTTTTCTAACACACTATCCCTAGCTGAAAGGGCACAGGACTCAGGGAAAGAAAGGGCTGTAGGAAAAGCATCATTTGGCAAGAGCTGTGACTATTCATGGCAGGATACAACCAGCTCAAGACCAGCTCAAGACCACTCCTGCACTGTGACAAGAAGCCGAGGGTTAAATATCCCAACTTCCCTTTCTGCCAGCCCTCCAGATGACTGGCAGGCTCCTGCTAGTAGCTGAAGCCAACCAAAAGTCAGAGGGCAAGGGAGTCTGCTGATGCAGACCATACAGAATCCTGGGGCAAAGAGTAGGGTAGGGAAGTATGGAGCTGTAAAGTGAAGTTATCCCACATACCAGGCAAAGACTTTCAACTAAGAGCTATTACTAATTCATCAGCATTCGTGAAGGATACACTCTACTTTAAAGACATGATACAATCCAATAATAACATTTTAAGAAAGTATTTCAAGAGCACTGAATTTGAAATTTACAAAATTCCATATATTATGCATAGGCTTCCTAAATACAATGTCTCTAATCTTTTTTTTTTTTAAGATTTTATTTATTTATTCATGAGAGACAGAGAGAGAGAGAGAGAGGCAGAGGGAGAAGCAGGCTCCCAAGGAGCAGGGAGCCCGATGCGGGACTCGATCCCAGGACCCTGGGATCATGACCTGAGCCGAAGGCAGATGCTTAACCATCTGAGCCACCCAGGCGCCCCCAATGTCTCTAATCTTAAGAGAGATAATATCGATGTCATATTTTTAAAAGAAAAATATTCGAACTAGATATACTCTCACTCTTCCCTTTTTCTTTTCTCCTTCTTTGGAATTTGCATTGTTATATTAAAACTCTAACTGCCCATATGCCTAGTTAGATGTAGGACAAGAATAGTACCAATCTCAAAATGACACAGGAAAAGAGAATAACTTCCAAAGAGGACCTTATATTTTTAAATTCAGGAATTTGCCATATTCGACATGGTCGTTTGGATTGGTTGAACACTGACAGCACATGCGATCTGTCAGTGATTTTTAATTTAGGACTCCACATCCTGTTGTTCTTGGTGGAACCACAAAGACTCATAAACTGTCTTATTTATAGCACTCTCAAAGAGCCTTGTAATCTATAGCAATTGAATATTTTTAGTGAGTATTAGTGACAACATCTAAAACTCTGCATGCTCTCAGGAACACAACAGATTTCAGAGTGAAAGCAATCAAAACTGACCTTCAGACTATTTTCTAAGACAGGAACATACTTTTGGGAGGACTGAAAGAAAGATATATGTTTCCATCCCATTCCAAAGGGTATAGAAAAGGATTTGCATTACTTGAAAATTTCCTTGGCAACAAACATTCACATACACAAATACACAAACAGACTCTTTCAAATGTTTAAAGTTGATTACTTGTTAGGACCATCTCTAACCACAATCTTGTCCAACTTTGCAGTGTAAATGTATAGTACCTGTTTGACTCTGAAACGAGAATGTTCATACACCTGAAGGCTTAGATGGTTCAATACCACTCAGAGAATAAATATGAAAGCCTGGCCATGAAATAACCTGAATTCACCCTTCTGTGTGCTGAAAGGGGAATTCTGAGAAAAGAGTCACATATTCATTCATCAAAATTGCCAAGTGTGATCTTTGCATTTGCCAAATTCTCTTGTAAGGAAGGATAGTATCCTATTGTGACTATATCCATTTGTTTGGGAGCCATGAGTTTTAATCCTGGCTTAGGCACTTGGGTAATTATGTGATTGTAGTCAAATTTTGGTTGGACTCTCTGAATCATTCCTCTTCTATAGTAAGGGGAGAATAATGTTTAGCTCTCAGGGTTATTTTAAGCATAAAGTGAATGTGTGTGTATCCCTTTTTCATGACAGGCTGTGAACACTGTGGCTATGAGGACAGGTGTCTAGACTCCCTCTGTCTTTTTGTCTTGCCATCCTTAGGGGTTTGTCCTTGTATACACAGTCCTAGGTGGATGACCACCAAGTCCATATCCAATTCAACAGGAAAGGTAAAAGGAGAGATGGAGAGCATACCCCGTGCCTATGAGAGCACAACCTAGGACTCCCACACATCACTTCTGCCCACATTGTTTCAGCCAGAAAGTTGGTGGCATAGCCACACCTAACCACAAGGGCAGATGTGGCCATGAACGCAGCTCTAAGCACTATTAATATGAAACAAGTAGAAGACCGTATTGAGAACAACTTAAAAATATCTTTCATAGATAAAATTAAACATAAAACAACATCTAGAAAATTATAAAAAAATTTAAAAAGTAAAAGGATATAGGAGTGCTTCTAATTATGGCAAATAACGAGTTTAGTGATATA